GAAAAGAACTAAGAAGAAAGGGAAAAAAGTAAAAGAAGATTGTGCAATACCTGTCCCTGGGAAAGGAAGTTGGCATTTAACGTTCCTCTGACTGCATTGTCGATGTCACTATCTTCGAAGATAATGAGCGGAGACTTTCCACCAAGCTCCAAGGTCACCGGTGTTATTGTTTTCGCACAAGCTGCCATTACCTACACATACGCACAAATGACGTACATAAAGCCGCAATAAACATTGTAGCATTCTAAAAAATAGCAGGTAGTTAAAAAATATTATGATATTGGCTTGCAATTTTTATTTACAAAATCTTTCTACATGGTATGCAGACAAATGCATAGCCCACAATGAAGACCCCAACCTTGAACATACATATTTCAGGCATGGGAAATGAAATTTTTGGAGGATAGACTAAAGGTTTGGTGCCCTCCCAAGGTCAAACAAGCTGTAGGGGGCTATAGCATTTATTTCATATCATAGACATTCAGCAAATGCCTTATAAGCCTAATAATCCTAATAATATAAGCCTATAACGACATTCAAGGAAGCAGTAAAGCTATAGCATTTCTGTTTTGTGCACCAGTGTGGGTAGCATATTTAATAGTCTGAAAGCACAGGCACTTGGGCCGTTTCAATAATAAAATGATGGTTAATAAGCCTACAACTTGTCAGTACTAGACCTGGCTGTATTCATAGTTTGATTTGACCTAATAACTTCACTTCAATACCGTCCAATACACCGCTGCAACACACATTCCTATAGCGTGCACGCCATTGTGCACAAATACACAGTAGGATAGAGAAGGTAAGAAAGCGGCCACACAGAAATTCCATAACGCTTGAATCTTTTCACAACAGTAAAGCAAAAATATACAACGAACTGCCATGATATTGGCATCTGTGTGTAGCTGAATGGTCACTTGTTCAAAATATTAGTCTTGCCACTTGGTACCACATACTTTACCCAGAATTATATGAGAAATCCTGCTCGAATTTGCCGCGAATTTCCCACGGAGCCGTTTCGTGGATTTTCGGATTGTTGCACCCATTTACGAAACGGCTCCGTGGGAAATTCGCGGCAAATTCGAACAGGATTTCTTATATAATTCTGGGTAAAGTATGTGGTACCAAGTTTCAAGATGGATATTTCGAACAAGTGACCATTCAGCTACACACAGATGCCAATATCATGGTGGTTCGTTGTATATTTTTGCTGTAATGTTGTGAAAAGATTCGAGCGTTCTGGAAAATATCTTTGCGGATGCTTTCTTACCTTCTCTATCCTACTGTGTATTTGTGCACGCACAATGGCGTGCGCTAGAATTCTTATATACAGAGAGTTGCGCCATGACGAGTCGAAAAACTATCGGTCACGTAGTCGCTGGGTACTGTCAAATCTGTGGAAATCTGCGGATCTGCGGAAAATTACTATGCCTGATATGTATATATATATATATATATATTTTCAAGAGATCAACCCAGGGTACTGTCAAATCTGTGGAAATCTGCGGATCTGCGGAAAATTACTATGCCTGATATGTAAACATTCCTACTTACCCTAGAACCAACAGCAACACTGCCTGTGAAGGACACCTTCGAGACATCTTGATGACGGCAAAGCATGTCTCCAGTATCCCCAGCTCCCTAGAAACACAAGACATACAAACACCTACCTGATTTAACAATAACGTGTTCAGAGATGTCGAGGGGAGATGTGTCACGTCAAGCAACACTTCAAATAACAATTCCTGTCATAATGATATTGCACCTACGAGATACATCTCTGCATACGTAATACACGCCACATTAAATAAAACCTACCAGCATGACCATAGAATTATATTATACTGCACATACGAGACATACAACATACATACACGTTGCATTAAATAAAACCTATCAGCATGACCACGCGAGAACCATTAGTTGCACAAGGTATTCCCCTGCCATAATTCACTTCCATCTCCCACTTTTCGCACTCGAACGACTCAAGCATAGCCAAACCACACCACAGCACATGCCCCCTTCGCACGCTCGCGGACACAGGACATCGCCCACCCAGCCCGTGTTTCCGACTCGCGTTCGCGACGAAAGCCGTTGGCGCACCTGCACGACGTTGAAGACGCCCTTCGGCAGCCCCGCGTCCTCGAATATCTCGGCAACGATGAGCGCGGTGAGCGGAGTGAGCGGCGATGGTTTGTAGACCATCGTGTTGCCGCAGGCGAGCGCTGGACCCGCCTTCCAGCAGACGGTGAGCAGCGGGAAGTTCCAGACGCCGATGGCCGCGCATACGCCGATCGGCTCGCGACACACCATCGCGAACGAGCCGCCCGGAAGCCGCACGTGCTGCCCGACGGCTGAAAGAAGCGAACAGCGTCGAACGTCAGCCACCCTTCAAAGACGACGGTTGGTGTGTGGGCGGGTGGAGTTGGGGCGTTTAATCGTGACGTTTTCAGTGTATCTGCGTTTTGTTGATTAAACGTTTGCTTATTGCCATGAATTCGCTATTTATTCAGGTGAGTCAATTTAGTTGCAAAGGTGCCGAGACACTGTGCACATTGTCATCGTGGTCACCGTGATATTCTAGAAATAAGCTCGCGTAGATTAAATAAACGTGTCATGAATTCTATGAATTATTCTAATAAGGCTTGTACAACACAAAACATGTG